CAGTCTCCACCCATGGGCATAAAAGTAGCATATGCTCCACGAATTCCTCTTGAGCATTGCAGATAGGGCAGGTTGGTGAGGGGGAGGACCTCCGTTTGTATAGATCAGCCATGGTTAGCATCGCCCGCTGTAAGGCCCGCCATTTGATCGCTCATTCTCTGTATTGATGAGTTTTTATGTCAATATTTTTTTTTTTTTTACATGCAACGACAAATAAGTTAAACTCTTACATGGTTACCACAAGAACAAAGTGTAAATGGTACAAATTTGCCACACAGGCAATAGAGGTGAAAAATCTAAGAATAGAAGCACGCATAACACCACTGCTAAAAGCGAAGTCACATCAAACCACCGCTGAAACAGTGAAGCCTCAACAAACTCACCAGAGCGATACAACCCCGTTGAGCGTCACAACACAAAACAAAAGTTGAAACACGCCAACCCGCATATATATATCTCTTATTCATCATGTCCAAACAGTCAATCAGACTGAAAGAAAAAGTTGAATACAATTTCGATATCTTATTATTGAACATGAGAAAATTAAAACTTTGAAACTCATCTCGAAGTTCATCCCAAATCTGGAATTTTTCTTTTTTAGTTTATAAATTTGGCCGCAAAGTCCGTCCCACTCCAGCATTGCTATCATGGGAAGAGACTTTGAGGAGAATTTATTAATAAACAAGAAAAATACAATATGTTAGGGGGATATGAAGCTAAACTCAGACCATTAAAGAATTCATAACAACAATTCAAAACCTCTTTTAGTAAAACCTATAACAAGAAAGCTTAGAAAGGTAGTTAGCCTAGTTGTAAATTAAAACAAGGTTTATATTTTAAGTTAACTAAAGAGGAGAAAAGAAAGAATATTGTGTTTCTGCATCTGGTATTGGTGATTCACTACTCTAGTAGGTAAATAGTGTGTTACTGTACTGCTTCTGGCCGCTGGAGTTTACTTTTCGTGGATTAGGGTTAGGATTTTTTTATTTTCTTTTATTTTTTGGTGAAAGGATTAGTTAGGGTTTTATTTAATTTAGGAATGAATGATGAGTCTCGTGACCTCGTCCATAGCCGGGCTAATTGACGTAGCAGACTAATAAGACTACGTCTGTGTCTGCAATTTGCCGCCGTGCCAAGTTTTATTTACATTACATGGAACCATACAAGGAACCAGTCGACCCAGCACTCACGGTCTAGGGAATTAATGAAGAATGATTGAAGAAAGGTTCCCACCATCTTGACTTTTCACTGTATGTATAAAGCCTAAAGGTATCGAATTGCTAAGTAGAAAGTTTGAATGATAGTAATTGCTTTATCTTACGAGGGTTCCAAGTATTGCGAGACTTCATTATTTTCTTTTTCTTTTTTTAAATACCAGGAAAATAGTTATATATTATATGTCACCACCGGAGAACGATTATCTTCGAGTTTTTAAGTATTTTGGAATACAATTTTTCCGGATAGATCCTCCGGATTCTTCAATAATATATCACTATATCTAAACAGGATGACTATAAACTATGTTAGGAAAACGATTTGTCTAACTGTAGCTTAGGAATTTCGAGCATTCAACATTTTACGTCCACACAGAATTTTAAACAATGGCAATATATCATGGTTGTTCCAAAATAACACTCAACCTTTTTTAACAAGTATTTGTTTCGGACAATATACTGAAATATGTAACGTAAATATTATTAAGTAACATGTGTCACTATCTAATGTGGTTGATTAGTGACTGTGGCTTCATCCTTGATGCATTGGGTTTAGACTTTTTAGAATTGATTAAGCAATTTATTAGTAGTTAAGTTGTCCTAAATCAGCACCTTGCTATTGTATGAATAGCTTATGTGCTATCTCGTATAAATTTAATCATTCATTCAAATACAATACACAACAACTATTACATCACTTTCTCTCTCTAAACTCTGTCTAGTTCATCTTTCACACCGTCCATCTCTCTTTATTTTTCTCAATACCGTCCAGATGTACGTAGTTAACACTGTTACAATATATAGTTTTTAAACAAGTCATAGTGGACGTGAACGAAATCATCATATGAAGGAGAAAATATATGGAAAGAAACCATGCATGATCTAACTTCTTTTATGTTTAACTATGTTTTTCTTTCTTTCCAAACGATTATCCATTGCTGGGTTCATACATGTTGAGCACGGTGCATGGAAGTCAAAGACAGCTGCAATCAAAAGTCATATATTCACCTCCCCTGACATATAGTATGGAACAGCTGAAAGTTGAAATCATATGACTAAATTTGGAGAAATATACATTTATTATATTATTGTAATCATTCTTTATATCATCTCTTTAATAGAAATAATGTGCGGTAACACATGTAGTTCAAATTTTTATTCAATAAATAGTACAAAAGAAGAAAGTACAAATTAATATGTAATAAGGGCAGCATTTATGTTAAATTTATACACTATTTTAGCTTCTAAAATATATTTCTTAGTTCATGATCTCTCTTATTAAATAGAATTAAAGAATTAGTAAATCTGTTTTGCCAAAAATGAGAAAGGGCCTGTATTTATAAAATATCCTGGCGTATCATTCTTCTGGGAAATATGTGATGATTAATCTCGAAGGTTGACCATAACAAAGGTTGAGTCGTGGTCCTCGTAGAGATCATGGGTTTCAGCTGGTGCGGCATGGCAACCGAAAAGGGTGTATTCAAACGTCCGTAGAGTCCTTTTCGAAAGGCAACCCAGGTCAATGTATTAGGTTATAACTTTGACGATTTTTTACCCATAGAAGCAAAAGAGTATGTTTGCCTTTGATCGGTCGATAACTTGCTATGTATTTTTTTTCTAAAAGAAAAATGGCACCTATATATCATTTCAACAAGTAAAATATATGTATAACATATATCTAATTGTCCCATCATATAAATTATCCTAGATTAGAAGCTACAAAGAATTTCAAACCTGAAAGAGACATTAATATTTTAAAATCAAGGCATGTGTATTATTTCCCAGCATCTTTGTAGCCTCTATCTGTTCTAAGTCATTCTTTGATCGAGTAAGCATGTCTTAAATGAAATTTGTCCAAATCAAAATGGCTAATTGTTGCCCAAAACACTAGGAACTTTGAAATTAATATTTTGGAACTTTAACGAAAAGCTCCAAGTACTGTTCATTTTAACGAAAAACCATATATTTACACTAAAAAGTCAATCTTGATACTATTTACTTTACCCTTTATTTTATTCTTATCGTTAAAACTCAAAGTTTTCATGTCTCTTTCATTCATTGTCCTTATTTTTTACCAAGCGTTTGTCTTTTTACACACTTTGAAACTAGGACTATTTCAGGCCGACATTTGTGAGTGTGTGGTGTGAAAGAGGGAGAGAGAGAAATCAGAATATGGATGCGTGTTGTAGGTAACAATTAAAATCATGATTCCCCATACAGCATGGAAGAGACAAAAACATAGAGAATAATTAAGAATAAATAATCCAATTTAGATGCATGTCTACACTAAAAATGGGAAAAGGATTCTCGCCGGAGAGAAATTTTTTGTTGTGACAAAAACATGAGTGATATGTAAGTAATGGAAATTTTTATTTTTTAAATTATTAACTTTTTAATACACATATCCCATCATTTGTGTAGTAACACGCGGTGTACCACTTCGTATCTGGTCACATTGAATCTCTCATCTCTGGATCCTTTTTCTAGGGATCCTAGAGATTTCGTGATCGTAACTATTCATCATACATTGGACGGTCAGTTTTCGTTAGGTACTATTTATATTTAATTTTAAATTTTAAATTTTAAAATAATTTCTGATTGTATGATGTATGATATACGATCATGATCACGAAATTCTTAAGAAAATGATCGGATGAGGATCCTTTTCCCTAAAAATGCATGTTTATACATAGAAATATAAAAAGCCTATCCTTTTTCACTTTATCACCTTCGACCTTGACCATTAAAAAAACAAAAACAAAAAGGTCAAAATTTCAAAACGTTTTTTTAATCAACTGATAAATATTATTACTAGACCACTCGTGTGTGTTGTAGATAGCATTATTAATTTATTATTTTATGAAAACATTTTTTTAATATGTCATATACACAACTCGGTACTAAGTGTCAATATAAATTGATAAAAATGTGTTGTTGAAGCACATAATCTAACCATTTATAATACGATATTTAGTTTACTGTACTGTGTTTACGGTATATTGAAAATTTTCTCTCCGTTCTAAACTCTGGGAAATGAAGACTGATTGATGTGAAATGTTTCCGATCCGATCCCCACCATATATTGACTTTGCAAGCTCAAGGCATCGAATTAGGTGAAATGTTTTCGATTGATAAGACCTTTACGTTTTGTGTAACCTTTTGGCTATGTGCTAGTTGTGAATCATTTTCTGATCAAAAAGCTCACAAATACGTCCTAATTAATGTTTTTAGAGTTTTGACATATGATATTTGGAAATTTTACGATGCACGAAAGTTGCGATGGACTTTTTAATTGGTTGAAATGCAATCACATCATCGTATTTGTGTTGGTTGGCACCGACACATCTTTTCGTATCTTCTCAGAAAGAGGAATTGTGGAAACCTAAAAAGTTGGGAAGGTCGAATTCTATTCACTAGAGTAATGGACCATTAGACCAAATCATCTGCAATGGTGAGAGGCATCTCCGAAAGTTGGAGCGATGAGTTTTATTGTGTATTTCTACCTGGACAAAGATTGTCTGCTCTTTCACTTTCGGTGACCTTCCGTATTCTTTTGTTTTGTGTGATCACAGTTAAACTATATCAATATTTTATATTATTTTTTTTTATAAAGATAATAAGACAAAAATAAATAGTATTATAAAATGTTGACGTGACTTAACCGTGATCACACAAACAAGCGGTCATCGGAAGTAGGAGGGCAAACAATCCTTATCCTTTCTACCCGATCCAATACAGTAAAAAAGCCAGAACATGTAGTTACCGTTTCGGAAAATCAGATACAAATGTTAAGCAATGAGGAACTTAATTTATTCGAATACTATGAAACTGGTTTGCACAACTGCGAAAACAACAGGACCGAGTCTATAACATTTGTCTCGGTACAAAAGAGTCCGGAGAAATTTCTCATCAGTTGCGGTGAAAAGCATCAAAACATCCACACCTCATAAATTTATGCTTCCTGTCAAAAATTTAAACCAGACTTAGTAGGCAGAACCAGTAAAATTCAACTGACGAAAGTAAGACGGTAAAGTAAGGCTTCCTGCCAAGTGATCAGCTGAAATAATATAAACAGCGAACATTGCTTACTGAAAGCAGGAACAGAAACTGGGGCAAGTGTGTTGTTGGAAAGTCTTTTACTCTCTACTTTTAATTGTGATCGGGTGATGAGCGTGTGCATAATTGCATATTTGAGTGCACACAACTACTTAGAAATGATGATACATTCATAAACAACTTTACCAGAAACTATTCCGTGAGAGCTTTCTATATCTTTTATCCAATAAAGGAGAGAATAAAATGTAGCAAATTGGCAAGTTTTTATTTGGCTGAATGAATCAAAATGATGAGATGCATGAATGTGGATGCCCGAAGTTGCTCACGTTCTCTCCTCTAGCATTAGATCAGTAGTTTGAGTTGTGCTCCCCTTTAAAAATCCCACTTAAATGGGTTTTAGAATGACAAAAGAAGCCTCTTGGGGTGCTACTTGAGTTGAAATACCCCCACATAGTAGCATATCTGAAATGACCTCGCCTTATATTTCCTCCAGCCACAATTCTTAAACAGCCTAGGCTATCAGCCCTAACCCTCTCCCCTGAGGTAAACAAAGGAAGGCAGAAAGGGCCAACTAGGGGGAACAAATTCTTTTTCTGGTTCCCCCAGAGCCGCAGGGGAGTAGTGGTGGGTTTGGAGGGGCGGGGGTGTTGGCTCGTGAAGGCTCTGTTGTCCTAAGGTACAGAAGTTGTAAATTCAGAAGTACAAGTTGTATCTTGAAGTGTATAGCTCAGCTCAGTTGGATGAGCATTAGCCTTTTAAGCCTAATGGTTGTACATTCAAGTCACTTGAGCTGATATGCTACAACCAATGCTATGGTCAAAATAGTTGTAATCTTATCCCTCTACATAAGTCGGACATAACCTTTCTAATAAATGAGTAAGTAACCCAAATCCCTAAGTCACTTGAGCTGATATGCTACAACCAATGCTATGGTCAAAATAGTTGTAATCCTATACTTCTACAGAAGTCCGCATATATTGGCACAAAAAAGGCCACAAACCTAACATGACATGAAGAAACTTGGGACTCTTGTATTTTCCATAACATGGACACAACGAGCATAATTCAACTTCACATGTCGAAAACTTGCATCTAAGAATTTCACTACCGAATGCACCACACGAAAGGCATAAATTACTTTACCACATACCAGAAGAAAAGGAAAAGGGGATCTCAAACTCAAACAAAAAACACATTTTCTACAGCCTAACCAATATAGGGATGATAGGCAATTAGGACCAACCCATATAAAGCAATAAGAACAAATTCCAGTTACTAGCCTTACACCCAAATAAATCCCTCCAACTATACACATCCTCACAGATTTGTCTTGCATTGTCTTCTCTAATAAGCAAAGAGTACAGTTGGACAAGCTCAGGTGAAAACATAGGCTGCATGTTTAGGTCATATGTAAGCTTGCAATATAACAGTATATTTAGAAAAACCCCATATACATAGCAAGTGCATTATATTAAACATCCAACCAACGGAACACCTAGCAAGGACGTTCACATAATCCACTCCATATTACTGAGACTCCTTAAATGATCTAAAAGAAATAACCACTAAAGATGCCAAATTCAAAGCTGATAATGTTTTTTTTTTTTCATTAGAGGGTGACCCAAATCATTGATTTTTATTAGACTGAGCTGATATAATCCCAAAGCATTGAAATTTAGAGTTCTCAAAGATGCCATGATCCCATTTTAACACTGGTTGAATTCCCAAACTGATACCAGCTGATGGTTAATCCGAAATTTGGACCCTCTCCACCCAAATCATTTCTTCAAGCTTGAACCCATGAGTGAACAAATCTAAATACAAAACCCCATATTTCTCTTAGAAACTACATTGAGCCCAATTCAACACAAACCCTAGGTTCCATAATCGACCCGAAAAACTCCACAATAGCAGCCAAAAAACACATAGTACTGAACAATTAACAGCAAACCCATCAATCAACGAACCAACAGTTCAAATTCAAATGCCAAAAATAAGAAATAGAAGAAGCAGAACAAAGAACTAGTGAATTACCCAATAACGGATGGTGGGTTCTAAGCAGTTGGCGGTGTTGGGAATGAGAGGAATCGGCTGCCCCTTCTTCTTTCCCTGCTTCAACTTGGCCTCCTCGCGGATCTTCTGCATCGCGAGCATCCTCTCCATGACGAGCTCGTACTCGCACTTCTCGTAGGAGTGGCGCTCGTTCTCGCACTTCCATGGGAGGTAGAGCTCCGCCTGCCTGCACTTGTTCAGAGGGATCAGCAAGTGGGCGCACTGGTCTCTGTACGGAATTGGCACCCGATTCTCCACCATCTCTGCCTGCGTCGCTATCATCTTCTTCGACGTTCCCTCGGCTGCCATTGCTTTGAAAAATTGAGCACCTTTTGGTCCCTGGGAAAGAATTTGGTGGTGGCTTCGGCGGCGGCGTGTACGGCGGCTTTCGGTGTTGGGGTGTTCGAGGTCGTTTCAGTGTGCGGATTCGTGTTTAGTTACCATTAATCCAGCTCGAATTCTTGTTGGTTTCAGGCTTTTTTTTTTTCAGCCAATGAAAAGAAATTGAGAGTTATTTTTTGGCCCATTGGGCTGAAGGTAACTAGGGAAATTATTGGGCTATTCAGCCCAGATCAAGCCCAACGCAAAGAAAGAGTGGCAAAACTTTTGTAATGTCCGTGAACCAGAATTGGATCGAAGAAATACTACTTTTTTTCAACTTGCTAATTTAATGGTTAAAAATCGGACTACCGAATACAAACATGATACTTTGTTCTACTTTGACCTCTGAATTTTAGTCCTCTATTTTCCAACTCGTGTCAGTATGCCCTAACTGTCACACTTTCTATAAATTTTATCACATCCTATGCTCGCGACCGACTTTTAAAGTTCTACGTGTACGCAAAATACTACATTCACAAAGTTAATACTAGAATTGTAATAATCAAACTTAACAAACATTGTCAAATTTAAAAGCTTGTACAGTAAATAAGTGGACAAAAATACCCCTTAATTGATAGAACTACCGATGGAAGGAACATTGGCGTGACTTAGAAGTTTAGGGAGGCTCATAACCAAAGTGAAAGTTCAACGGAAAAGTGAAACGGTTGTCCCAAAACGAAGAAGGAAAAAAAAAAAAAAAAAATAGGCCACCAGACTCTTATGGGTTGGAAGTAGTTGTAAGGAATGAAAACTGTGCATGGATTGAATAATCAAAACATGTAGAGAGCCCTGTTCAACTTGTTTAGGTTTTACCCCAATCTTAACTTGCATTATATACCAAATATGGAGCAATCTCTTCCAATGCACGATGAGGACGAAGCGCGGAGGCCGCCTTCAAAGAGGTTAGTTGCAACTTTTGGCGAAACTCCAAGCGATTCTATGTTTATTCGTACATATGCGGTTTTTATCTGCTTTAGTTTTGTTAGGTTGGCGAACAAAGTTGCAGTCATAACTGGGGGTGCAAGAGGGATTGGAGCTGCGTCAGCCAAGCTATTCGCTCGAAACGGAGCCCATGTCATCGTTGCTGATATACTCGACGACATAGGAGCTACACTGGCTGATTCTATCGCAGGCCGCTACATTCACTGCGATGTGTCAAAGGAAGCTGATGTTGAATCAGCTGTTGAGCTTGCACTTAAATGGAAAGTACGAATTGACAGTCATGTTCAACAATGCCGGGGTTCCTGGTCCCTCGGGGAGTATATCCAGCCTTGACATGGAGCAGGTCAAGAACCTCCTCTCGATAAATGTTCTTGGCGTTGTGCACGGAATCAAGTATGCTGCAGCGGCCATGGTCAAAGGTCGAAGAGGAGGGAGCATCATTTGCACATCAAGCTCAGCCGGTATCATGGGAGGCCTTGGAGGACATGCCTACACATTGTCGAAGGAGGCCCTCAACGGATTGGCAAAAAGTGCCGCGTGTGAGTTGGGAGTGCATGGCATTCGCGTGAACAACATTTCTCCTCACGGGGTTCCTTCGGAGATGCTCGTCGATGCCTACAGAAGGCATCTCGGGAAAATGGACATGACGGCAGAAGATGTAAGCAGAACTGTGGGAGAGAGGGGGAGCTTGTTGCGAGGGAGGTGCGCAACCGTGGAAGATGTGGCGGAAGCTGCATTGTTCGTGGCCAGCGAAGACGCCGGGTTTATAACGGGACATAATCTTGTTCTTGATGGGGGTTATACTTCTGCTTGCAGTACCATGAGCTTCATCTACCAGAATAGTAACAAGGATACTGTGTAATTCGTTGCTCTCATAAAGTTCAACGACGGATGATAAGATTATAAGTCAAATTCTAATTAAAAAGTTACTGGAACAAATTAACTCTATAAATCTTCTACAGAACTGTGTTCCTTCCAACAGCAAGAAGCAAACACAGAAAATGGTTGTTAATCACAATCCCAGAACTACAAAAGTAATTGCTCGATGCGGCTGGTTTAGGAAGGGAGAAATAGCCTTTCCCGAAACTCCAAAGTGAGAATTAATACCAAGCTGCAGATCTAAATCTTGATGTGGAAGTAATCAGAATCAAAGTGATGTAAACGTACGTAACCATCCTCACCTCCGCTTGAGAAACTGTTCAAATAATACAACAAAAACCGAAAATATTAAGATAGTCTCAATGCAGCAAATTCTCTTTTCCAGGAAAAATTTCTCAATTCATATAGGCAGATAATAAGCCACATCATCATCTGAGAAACAAGGAACCATTATTCCTCCAGCACCAATTGTTAAGACTCCTAACCAGCTACGTAGAGAAGTTGCATAATATTTACGAACGATTTCATCTCGGTTTTAAAATTAATTTAATTTTTCTAGCTAAACATTTAAATTAATTGTTCATGAGCACAAAAAATGATATCACTAAACATTAGCAAAAGCAATATTGCACAGATAAAGGTGAGAAATTCCCAAGTACTATCTAACGGTAAGCCAATCCAACTCTAATTGAGAAGAATTTGTTCATCATGTATTCACGTATCACGAAACCAACAAAAGTAGTTAAGAAAATGAACTATACCTTTTTCCATCGGGATTAAACGCCAAAGCATTTATAGGTCCAAAATGCCCTTTAACACCTCCAATTTCTTCTTGAAGAATCTATTTATATGACATTAAGAAAACAAAATCACTTACTGAAGAAAAGACAACCAAGAACCTTCATACTCCAAAAGACATAAAAGAATAGTATGGTTTACCTTGTCATAGAATTTGGCTTCAAATTTCCCAGAACGATGATCAGTTGTGGTGACAGTTGATGCATCCTGACCACCACCAAGTACCACCTGGATAGAACACACGGAATATTTTTTCAATAAAATGAAGACTTTTGTAATGAACCGGGAAAACAGTGCATGTATAAGAGATACAAAATAACTAAGGGCCGTTAGTGCGTATCATCCATTCACCAAAGTTCCAACTAGAAACTCTCCTCAAAATGTGACTGATAGAAAGCATTTAATCGTATTTGTACAAACTCCACTTTTTATCTCATTATGTAAGTAAACAAGTTGGAATGCAAACGAGATGGGTTTTAAGTAAATGAAATACCGAAAAGACAGCATTTTGAAAAAATGCAAGAAAATGCAAACAAATTTGAGATTATAGTTACATACATGATCACAAAGAGGAGACATTGCAACGGCATTGACAGGACGCTCTGTCACATAGGTCTTGATAAGAGTCAACGTTCTAGTATCCCACAGCTAAAACATATGCAACACAAAACACAAAACTCAGTAAAAATACGAAACCTACATACAACTCAAGAAACAAAGCACGAAGATTACGAGATGCATTACCTTGGCAGATTTATCTAGCGAACCGGTGAGGAAATGTGAACCATCCACAGATTTCGCAAGCGAAGTTATGGTCTTTTTGTGACCCGCTTCCGGATCATTCTCCTTAAGTAGTTTACCAGTCTGCAAGTTAATCGAAAACACTTAGGGGCAATTAAATTAAAGAAAAAGCTTTCAAATTTCCAGTGCAAGTATTGAATAACATCACAGCGAGCCAATGCACACTCACCTCAGAATCCCAAATGCGAACAACTGCGTCTTCTCCGGCGCTTATGATAGTTCTGTTCAGAGGGCCCCAAACAGCTCTGTTAATTCTTCCCTGAGGTCCCTTGAGTATCAGAGCCGATTCACCAATCTCTGAAAATACGAAACCGCCGATTATTCCATATCTAATTTTAGATAAACCGAAAGGCAACACAACAAAAGAGGAAAAATCAAAGAAGCTTACGATCTTCGGGATCTCCGGCGATACGCTTGACGTGAATCGCCGACGTAACGTCCATGAAGGGGTCGGTGGTGATGACGGCGAGCTTATCGCCCACGGAGAAGTCGACAGCCCTCGCCGGCGAGTCAAAATTGAAGGTGAAAAGCTGCTGACCGGACTGAACGTTCCACAGCTTGGCGGTCTGGTCGGCGCTGCCGGTAATGAGGCGGGCGGAGTCTCTGGACACATCGCAGCACCAAACGGCGCCGTTGTGGCCGCGGTAGGTCCCGAGGCGCTCGCCGTTGTCGGCGAACCAGACGGTGGGGTTGTGGTCCTTGGCGCAGGAGAAGAGGAGGTCGCCGTCCCTGTTGTATTTGAGGAAAGTCAAGGGCCTCTCGTGCCCTTTCATCAGTATCGGCCTCATCGTCGGAGTCGGAGAAGTAAGGAATCGACGGAGATTTTGCTGGTGCAGAATTAGGATTCCCAAGGAGTGGCGACCGCGAACGTAAGAGAGAGGCAGATTGTGGAAGAATGTTTTAGGTTTAAGCCAATCGGGTTCGGTTAAACGGGGCGTGGGTCGGTGTCGAAATTTAAGGCCCAAGCTTGGCTTAATTTAAGGCCTAATCGTGGCATTATGATTTGAGGCCCAAGCTTCCTCGTGATTATCCGCAATCCATCCAGCCTTCCCGCCCTCGGTTGTGCTTGCTCGTAGTAGAACTCATGCTGCCCCATGAACGTGATGACCTCGGCAGCGGCTAACAAAAAGTACTGGGGAAATTTGGCAAAGTATGCTAAGTGGAAGCAGCAACCTTTTCATGGATCTAACCGCGCTCCCTGGCAAGCTGCAATCGCGTGATCTCTCTAACAATGCAGCAGCTGCCATGCATGGAATGGACACGAACAGCCCGGGTGTGATATAGCATTTCCTTTCCAACTAGTGATACTTGTTGAAGCAACAACAGTTTCTTCGTGCAGTTTATCGGTGAAATAGTTGACAAGATTGGTAGAAATCCCATTGAAGGCCAACAGTTCACAAAAGAACGCCCGCATTTTGTGTGTGTGTGTGTGTGTGTGTGTGTAGATATAATATGTAAACACACTACAACTGTTAGGAAAAGAAGAGATTACTCGGACACATGAGAGCAAATGTCGAAGACAATATGTCACCAAAAATGAAGAAGCGTGCCTTCCACTGTCCAGTGTTATTTTTTAGAGCAGGGTTCCCCTTCGAGTCAACTGAACCATCTCCGGTGTAGAGGTCATCGCCTTCATTCTGGACTGGAGACAGTACATGATACCATGATCGCTAATCCAAAGGGAAACCAAAAACAGGATAGACAAAATGCTGACCGATGTGGAACTGAGTATCCATTAGTACAATTCACACACATTAGAACGGGGGGGTTATCAACAACCTAACTGAAATTGCAATGGGAGGGAGAGGGGGTGGACATCTCCATCGTCCTCTGGTCAGTAATTGAAGGTCCCCGAGTCCATAGACTTCACTGTCATTCGTTTTATTTGCAGACGACAAGCAACAATGGTTGGTCAAAACTATGCCATTGTCATCAATTAACAGGTGAAGTTAATGGATTGACTAAGGAAGTATGAAGGTGACAAAAAAAAATCGAACTTTAGGTATGAAAGTAGCACGAGATGAAATAAGTTAGTGCAGTAGAGTTTTGCAAAACTTAAAGGTTGTAAAATAGAAATTATCCTAATTATTAATTTCGAGAAATGAATCAAAAGTACTGTGCATCCAACTGTCACCAGAAAACTTCAGTAGGCTGTCCGGCTTCGTCATCCCCGCAGCATTCGGGTCTCGTACCAATCAAACGACCGAGGAGACGAAACTCAGAAAGCAAGAATAGTTCACAAAGTGCAGGGCTAAAGCAAAGAATCGTTGCGAATAATACACATTTCTTTATAATCTCAAATGTTTTTGATTGGACGAAAATGCAGAGCTTGTAATTTCTATTTACACGGTATCAATAACAGGGTGATTTTTACAAATGGGTTCTTCAGTTTCTTCTGTTTACGGTTTTAAGGGACCTGGAGAAAGCCTTAAGAAGCCTTCTTCTTTTTGTACCTCTTGGCACAGACCACGTACACCAACATATTCAGGAGGCTGAGTCCGGCTAAGAGCCAGAAGAAATAATCCAGATGACCTTCGTTTAAGTTATCCGGTATCCATCCAGCCTTCCCATCCTTTGTTGAGAAGTACGTTACAATTGTTAGAATCAAGGAGCTCAGATAGTTCCCCAACGAAGTCGTCAGAAGCGACAATGCACTGCATAGACTCCGCATAGCATCTGGAGATTGGTCGTAGAAGAACTCAAGCTGCCCAATGAATGTGAATATCTCCGCAGCACCCAACAAAAAATACTGAGGTATTTGCCAAAAGATACTCATCGGTACAGCCACCTCTTTGTCAACCAATCCAAGCTCTTTTGCAAGATTCAATCGGTAAATCTCTACCACGGCAGCAGCCGACATGCATAGCACTGAAAGAAAGAGACCAATACCCATCCGTTGCAACTCTGAGAAGCCCCTTTCTTTACCCGTAAATCTCCTAGCAATTGGGACAATAAACTTGTCATACACAGGGACCCAGAAAATAACACTGATGACATCAAAAGTTGAGAGGGAGGCTGGGGGAATGGTGAAAGAACCGATAGATGTGTCCATCATCGTGCCTTGCTCAACAAACATAGTCGACATTTGGGCATAAACAGCAGAAAAGACAATTCCAGTAGCCCAAATTGGAAACATGCGGATTAAAATTTTCAACTCCTCCACCTGTGTTACAGTGCAAACCCTCCACGGATTGGAGAAGTCCCTAGTTTTGGTCTCAGTTTCTGAAATCACAGCAGCTTTATCAAGACACCTGCAGCAAAAACAAAGTTCAAATTTTTAGGAACAATTTATATTGTGGTCGAGTTACACAGTCTCAACAGTTCAGAATAAGAAAATAACGTCATTCCATTTATTTTTTGCAGCAATTTGAAAATTCGCCATTTAAGTTTTCTGCGAAAATGTGTGATTCTGTAAAATTCAAATAATTATTCCCACGAACATGAACACAGTAAGAAGAAATTTACGTCAGTTCATCGCTGTGCTCCAGCTTACGACTTCCTTTAATAGCAGAGTCTTTATCTGGTGTTTCATACAGGAGACTACTGTCTTTAGGGACGTCCAAATTCCACTTACGAAATGATGCAACCAAAACCTGGCACATTCTTGTCACAGGGCTTCCCCCCGGTTTCTGAAATCTATATAGGGGTGTGCCTGAAAAGAAACTAAAAATAGCAATGCCCATAAACAATGTAGGTATACCAAATCCTAAACCCCACCCAGCATTGTCTTGAATCCAGACTAGTAGAGAACTTGATATTAAAGCACCAATGTTGATAGAAAAGTAAAACCAGTTGAAGAAGGATCCCTTCTTTACTCTTTCCGTTTTATCTGTATCATCAAACTGGTCCGCCCCAAAGGACGAAACACATGGCTTGATCCCACCAGTCCCCAGAGCAATCAGATAGAGTCCAACGAAGAACACTCCATACTGTGCAGGAGAAGCTGAAGGACATACCGAATCCACACATTCTGGAGGCTTCAATGCAGGAACTGATGCAGAGAGAGTCAAAGTACCCATCCCCTACACAAAATAATTACCGAACCAATCAGCAAAATTTATATGCTCTAATCCCAAATATATATATATATATATATATGCATATACATCATACATGCATGCATGTATATGAGATGAGATTATATAAGCACCAAACAAAATGGGAAGAAAAAACAAAATCTAATTTGTACTTACAATGAAGTAAATGGTCGAGAAAACAGCAATTGTCCAATATCTTCCCCAATAAGCATCTGCTAAGACAGCCCCAATCAGAGGTGTAAGATAGCAAGTGCCTGACCAAGTAGTGACATTCCTTGCCGCAGACACATTTCCTTCGTGCAATTTGCGTGTAAGATAAGTAACGAGGTTAGTTGCAATCCCGTAGTAGGCCAAACGTTCGCAACATTCGGTACCTGTAACATGTATCAAAAGTATTACAATCACATAAACTACATTGATGCACAAGAGCAAATTATAGCGACGAACAAAGCATCACCTAGAATGAAGGGGCAAGCTCTCCAATTCCCAGTATTTTGTTTCAGAACACGATTCCCCTTAATGTCAACTGAGCCATCTCCAGTGTACAGCCCGTCGCCTTCGTTCTGAAGATGCAACAGAAAAACATCAATGCGTGTAGTGCCAAACTGTTTGAAACATTTACATTTGGAAACATAAATGTCAAAGAAAATCCTTTTAAAGGCAACCTCGTTTAGGATTTCAGGAAGCACTTCTGCTCATAAGCATATGCTTTTATTAAAACACGTTGACATTTTATTAATTCAAGTACTTCGGAAGGCGTTTGACAGGTAAAGTCATAAGTGCTTCTGGGTCACCTACTATAAATGCTTCTTAAAAAAGCACTTGGCTACAAACAAAAACAATCCCAAACAGATCACTAATGGCAAAAGATGATCAGTATTCAAAAACGTGAACAGAAATCAAAGGATACCCAGTAAACTTCATATCATTGACCATGATCATACACTAAATCTCAAAAACTCCCAATCGAATTTCAGTTTAACATAAAAAATTCAAAATCTCTAACAGCAGCTAAGCAAATTAAGAACCGATTGCTCTGGAATTGCAGAACGTTTTACAAGATCAAAGATCAAATTTTTGAAATTCCAAAATTCGAAATCAATACAAAAGATCACAACTTTCAGACGAAAAAAATGAAGAGAGAGAGAGAGAGAGAGGAACCTGAATAAGTCCGTCTTCCAAAAGCAATCGCTCCTCCTCCTGGAGAGAACCCATCTCTCTCTCTCTCTCTCTCTCTCTCTCTCTCTCTGTGATCTCTGATTCCGTCGCCCTGCTTCTTCTCCGAGTGCAATACAAATGGAAAATGTGTGTTCTGAAGAACAAGGAGGAGCAGAGATACTATCTTCCGTCTTAGAAGCCGGAATGGTGGGTGGATAATACGGGTAGAGGTCAAGGTATCGGTGTCGTGTTAGGTGACGTAAAACGGAAGACAACCTTGGGACTTGCTTCAACTAACTACTTACCCCACTTCCCGGGCAAACCAACCGTTCTCTTTTTCCTTTCCTTTGACTGGGCCGTAACGTGTCCTCTGTTGGCTTTTACCTTCGTCTCCACTGCTTATGTGGCGAGTAGCACTTTTTGAAAGATGTATTTGTATTGGGTTATAAATTTCCGAACATTTTTTGAGATATATTTGATATTTATTTTATAGAACCTATTTTGTAATGTATTTCAACAATTCGAATTGTTTATATTTTAAAATATAGAGGCATTTCAGCCTTATATGGTCAGTATCGTGTAATTCAAAACACACTAAGAATCAAACTCAGAAAATGCAGTATAGAATACGCACTTGAAATTCATCATCAATCACTAACCCATTCCGTTTTGGTTATATTTCAAAATACAGTTAAATTGGGTCCTTAAAATACATAAAAAAGTGGATCCCACAAAACACATGTTAAAAGCGTGTCTCCAAATCTTAAACCGTTTTATCATAAACTTATTCAAATTCTTAATAAAAATTTAAGAGATTCGAAAAAGATTTATAGAGGTATTTCAACCTTATTTGATCATTATCGTGTAATTCAAAACACGCTAAGAATTGAACTCAAAAAGTGCAGTATAGAATACACCTGAAATTTATCATCAATCACTAGCCCATTTTGGTTATATTTCTTAAGAACTTGATTTTTTTTTTTTTTTTTTTTTTTTTGAACTTTGAATCACAGAAAAGAGTCTCTAAATTATGACGTAAACAAGAAAAGCAAATAGTACACTTAAAGGAAGTGCAAAAAATAACAGAAAATAATGGCAATATTACTATCTTATATTCAAATATTATTGTTGTAAATTACGACAGAATATTGGAATCGAATTGCCCCCTTCCCAAGAAAAAAAATGATGCCTTGTTTTGTTTTTATTACTTGCTAACCACTCAAAGGAGACGAGTGCAATTAGCCAATTAATTATCTCGGTCATTTGCTTGTTAAAACTTCAACATCACTGCATATATATTCAAACTGGACAACTTTGAATTAATTATGGTTTTCCATTGGTTAAATTTGCTCGCTCCATTCAAAAAATATATTCACATTGATCGTTAGATGTGAACGACAATGTTTCCTTAGGTTAAGTCACATGTATATATGACTATATATAGATCTTTTGTATCTCATGACCCCGTAAATTTGTAATCACTCACCGTTCGATTATAATTCAAAGGTAGGTGATTTAAGAGAAAAAGGCCTCTGACTATATATGTTTATGGCCATATGTGCCTAATATGCTAGTATGAACTAAGCACATATATGTCCATTGATCAACATATCAAAATATGAAGTATATATGGACAAATCATGAACATAATTAAAGGTGAAAAAGGCATAAGTTATAGATTAATATCTACAATAGGAATGCATGATGGATTGTTTGGAAGTTCCCATGAAAAACTTAAAAGGTATAAAGAGGGACGTGTAGAATTTTCCATGGAATTAGTTCGTTCGCATTGCAGGTCTAAAAGTTGTAGTTTTTACGTAAAAGGAATGAATATATACATTGATGCGGCCGATGATCCCTATATGCGTTCATATATACCAGTCAACCTCCTCTACTGCAAGCTCCATTGATATAATATTGACCAATATTATATTACAGATAGGGAGATCAATCGTTTAGACCAAATTTTGTAAATTATATAACGTGATTGTTGAATTATATACAGATATGGAGATCAATCGTTTGGACCAAATTTTGTAATGATATTTTGTAGTTGTTGAAAAATACTGAAATCAAATTTGCAAACCAAATGGTAATATGGTGATGATTGAATTATTATTTAAGTGTTAATTAACGTGTTTTTTTTTTATTGGTAACACATAATTTGGCTTAAAAATTCAGTCTCCCTAGCATAACCAATATAAAGAAAAATGCTAGGGAGACCATATTATTTTTAGACCATTTTTGTGAATCACATGACTTGGCGGTTGATGGTTGGATATTCAACCATCAACTGACACATCATATGGTCTACAAAATATGATTCAAGTAGACACGACATTTTTGCTCATCATAACTATGATGTATGCTTACCATACACATAATCCTTTGTTATGCGTCATTTCACCTAACTTTAGTTAACTTTCACATTAAATGTTACTTTTTCAATTTAATAAAAAATAAAAAAATTAACCAAGAGTAAGTGAAAAGACATGTGACAGATGATTAGGTACATGGTAAGCATACACCAAAATTTAGGTTAGTGAACAAAAATGCTCCGTTTAAATACACCAAACACGTTTTTTTTTTTTTTTTTTGGTTGGTCTAAAAACGTCGTCGTGGTCAATAAGTTTTTTGTATCTTCAATTGATCTTCTATCTAGGTAAAGATTCGCCACAAAACATGCGTGCTTTAAGTTTAAATGATTTAAGTAATTTTATTATATTTGATGTTGTTTGGTTTGAATAGGATGAAATAGAATAGGAAATTATTATTTTTCTATATAATTAATCAATCAATTTTTTTTCTTTCAGTTCTTTCCAGAAAATGTAAAAGGCAGGAAGGACAATAAACAAGCTCAAAGTTTCCTGTGCGAATCCGGCAAGATTTATCACAGACAGAAGAAACGAGTAAGATATCCCTATAAATACCGCATAAATGGTCTTCAACCCTCTTCCCCAAGCAACCCCAATCTCACGTTTGTAATTCGTACATATACCCCTCTCCCTTCAATCAATTTTCTCACCAATTAGCCAGTTTAATTGTGTGATTTCAGCTTTGCCCTAATATCTTGTCCTTCCCCTATCCCTCTCCCTGTCAGTCTCTACTGGTTTAAACTAGCATGGGGCTCTCAAAAACCTTCTCAGAGTCCGATGTCTCGGTCCGCTCCACCACTAGCTATATCCTAACCTCACCGGCTAAGTACGTATGTTGTTTTTTTCTGATTGAATTAATCATGCATGACCCTCCCCTGACATCCAACTTCGACTTATCCTTTCCGTAGATTAGAATTGAGGTTGTTAGAATATGAGCATGAGTATGAATTGGTAAACTTGGTTGTAGGATTAGAGATTGAGTAGGAAGTCTTGTTGGGAATGGATTTGTAAATCCATGTTGTAACTGGATTGCTATTTGGAATGAATTGGTATTCTATATGGTTTTTAATAGGGGAATCCTTATAGAATTTGGCTTAGATTGTATAGTATATATATGGTGGCCTCTGCTCTCGCAGTGAGTACTCGATATAAGACTAAGAGCTATTATTAGTTGAGAGTCTCGTTCACTGAAGAGAGGAGAAGGTGCACCACGACTTTGCTGCAGAAATCAAGCTTCGAACTCTTCTGCAGGTATGTTTTCTCTCTGTGCATTGCTTTATGGTTTATGGTTCTGTGTTTTGATCACGGTAACTTGCTTTGCATGATCTTGGTGTTGTGTTTATGCTAACAGAGGTAGCTACATGATACCATATAGGGTTATGGTGTTGCATGCAGGTACGAGATGCCGGAGAATTCGATGAGTGAAAAGGTGGCGGCCCAGATGATAAAGGACGAGCTGAAGCAGGATGCGGACCCAGGGATGAACTTGGCCTCGTTTGTGACAACATCGATGGACAAGAAGGCTAAAGAGCTTATCATGGAATCCCTCGACAAGAACTATGTTGACATGGATGAGTACCCTGCTACCACTGAGCTTCAGGTTCGTGTCCAGACCACAAAGAAGGAAAAAAAACGAAAACTTGCAAAATTATAATTAAATTATACATTGTAGTGCTACACTACCTCGCAATGGTGGTGAAAGAAGGGGGTAGAAAAACCGGGCGGTTTAAGATATTGTCAAGGGACATTGGGGTTCTGGTGGTGGCGTTTTCTCTCAAGGACAGAAGCCGTTACAATGAGTTTAAGGTGTCCGAGGGTTTGAGGCGTCACCAATTTATTGTGCCTGCATATCACATGTCAGCGGATGCTAAGCATGTGGCCTTGCTCCGCGTTGTCATAAGGGGATACTTCTCTTGCACTAAGACTGAGGGCCTTCTGTCCTGCATCAACGCCGTGCTTAAAGAGCTCGATGAGCTGCATCCAGTTGCTGCCATTCAAGAAAATGGTCATCATAAACTGTCTCTAAAAGGAGTTGCAAATGGAAACGGTGAGCTGCCACCAGCTGCCTACCGTTGAAAATGGCCATCACATAGTGTGCACAAAAGGAGCTGCAAATGGAAATGGTGTGACAGAGAATGGCCAGAACGGCGCAAAATACTACTAGTCGCATTGTTGGAGTGACCAAACATGACATACATCTCAATTAATCCAAACCAGATTTTAACATTTTTTTTGTCGGAAATCGATTTTATTAGATCGATGGTAGGAGTTTTTGTTTCTTTTGTTTTGGTGTTTTTGTTTCTTGGCATGATCAAATACGTTCAGCAATAGTACTCATTAAGTGCTGAAATTTCATTAGAAATTCTTTTTCTTTTTATTGGAAAAACACTTGAAAGTGCTTCCATCATCCATACTTTATAAAAAAAAGCGCTTCCAAATGTTTTACAATCTATACATTGTCCAAAAATTTATGTCAAATTACGTTAGAAATGCTTTTGGTTATCTATGAGTGGCCTGAGCCTTCTCTAAAAGATCTTCCACTCGTGCACTTTTTCTAAAAGATCTTCCACTTGTGATTTGGGTATTACCGTACACTATTATGTTTTGCACCAAATTACCAATACATACATGTGCAAACAACATATATGTTACCGTAACAATGAAATAAAAATATTACATGACGGTGTTATGATTACATTGAAAAATAACTAGTCTTGTGAACTACATTAGAACATTCAATCCATTGATAGAAACCCCATATCATATATAGAGCCCACATCTTCAATCTGCCTGCAGGTCCATTGGAACAAAGGCCTTTTGCAAGAAATATGCCCCTTTCATACTCAAAGCTTATTACATATTGGAGGAATTTTAGAGTTGGTTTGGAAATGCTATTCTAGAACTTCTTATGTTCATAAGCGTTTTTGATAGAAGAGCATTGAAATTTATTAGAAATTCAATTTTTTGTTCTTTAAAAAAACGCTTGAAAGTGCTTCAAGCAGCAATACTCTATCACAAAAGCGTTTCCAAATGCTTTACAACCTATTCTCACGTTTAAAATTTTATGTCAAATTACGTTAGAAACGCTTTTGACTATCTACGAGAGCCTTGAGCTTTTTCTAAAAGATCTTCCACACTGGATATTACTGTTACACTGTTATGTTGTCCTACCAATACAAGAGCAGAAAACATGTTACAGCGACAATGAAACAAAAATAACACATGGCGGGGTGATGATTACATAGAAAAATAAGTTGTCAGGCAGTTCAACTCTGGATTCAACCAGATGTTGCCAGGTATTTGTGGGTTGTTATACAGATTCCCAAGATGTGGTTCTGTTCGAACACCAACTACTCAAAGCATATCTCTCAACAATGCATGTGAAGAATAATATATATATATAGAGCATGCGGCTAGGCAAAAAGAATGAAAGAGATCTCAAAGCACTCTACAGATGCAAAGCAACCAACAAAATCTAATTATATATGTGTCACCTTGTGGAAGTATCAATCAGTGTGAACACTCTGCGCAGTCTTCCCAAATGATTACATCTTTGAAAAAACTAAGACACAAACCCTAATAGTCATCATCCCACAATCCCACAACCACCCCACTACTGCAAAAAGGATCATTCTCTCCATGCTATATATATACTCGTCCATTGAGCTAGTTCACCAGGTCAGTGCACAAGAGGTATATATAATCAGGCAAACTTTAATTAGTAATTGCAAATATACACGTTGAGCTTCAACATGAAAGCCTGCGTTGTTTCTGTGTTTTTGTTTCTGCTGGCTACGAACATTTTCGTCGAGGAAGTTGTTGCAGCTGGAGAATGTGGAAGGACTCCGATTAGGTCAGCAGCAGCAAGCCTGAGCCCGTGCTTGAGTGCGGCTAGAAACGTGAGGGCCAAGGTTCCCCCACTTTGCTGCACCAAAGTTGGTGCCTTGATTAAGACTGCCCCAAAATGCCTTTGCGCTGTTCTGTTGTCACCTTTGGCAAAGCAAGCCGGTATTAATCCCGCCATTGCCATTACCATTGCAAAGCGATGCAACATCAGGAAACGGCCTGCCGGAAAGAAGTGCGGAAGTAAGTAGTTACATAAAATTGTAAATTATTGAGTAATATGTTACTTATACACACAAAATTTACGGTAACTGATGTTTTAAAATTAATTGTTTGTTGATTTGCAGGGTACGTGGTGCCATAAGCCAAAGTCAGAGGAGTCCTGCCATTAGCCATACATATATAAAAGAGGGACCAGAACATCCAATGTCTTTCTATATATAAGACTATAAGTTGGAATAGAGAATAAGATGTAACGAAGGGTCATTTGCTATGCTCTGATCGTTGACTCTTCCAGGCACACTACCGTTTTACTTTACTTTCATGTACCATTTAATGTGGTGTTCTTGTCCTAATGTTTTCTTAATGGATTATATTTCCTATCCTTACCAGCTGAATCTCTTAATTTCTCTGATTATAGTAGCAAAATGAACATAAAATCAAAATTGACCCCAAAAAAAGAGAAAATAAAATATCAAAAAGCTCCCCCGTGGTATATTTTTAGTGTAATTAACAAATATATATACACACACACACATACAATTAACGTATTGCATACATTGATGCCTTGTAATAAAAAAGATCGAAATGTATTTGTACATGAATTTAGAATGTGAGTTAGCAGAGATTAAATAATTTCTGCCGTCGGATTATTCATCAATCAACGTTCACACGAAATCCGATGTAGGTGACTTACATCAGACCTAGTTCGGCCATTTAAACACCATGATCAAAAGTATGCTGGTCCCACGCACCCATCTATCCTGAAATAAAAATTCGTGTAGTGAGTTCCTTTTTTCAACATGATTGTTACATCACCATGAGTATGCAAGACATAAGTATCATTTTCATATCTTACATATTTTGTATTTATTAATTAACACAGAAAAGTCTCACACTAAAATCAATTATCTCATACCTAAATTGTTAAGAATTCAATCACTAAGAGGGTCAACTAGTGTGTAGTTATTGTCTACATCACAATTTAACAGTTAGATAGTATTTTGATTCATGTCCTTCGTTAATTTTAAGTAAGTAAATATAAACTAAATTCATAACATATCAATCTTATCTTTACTCAAATTATAATATAAATTAATAACAACAAGTGATAGTACGACCGTCACATAATATTTATCATGATTTGATCCGTTACAGTTATTCACCACAAGTATGCCAATAAGTGGACCAAATGCATGCAAAAGAGCAAAGAAAATTTAGAAGTGGAAGATAGATGATACCCGATGATGGAGAGAAGGTGTGGAAAAAGTCTCAAAAAGAAGATCGGTTGGGAAGCATAATATTGAAGGGGAAAACAAAAAAGGAAAAGCTGAAATTTGAATTGTGTCGTAACAGTTACAGCACTAGGGCATATCTATTTATCTTTGCCTTTCAATACTTGCTTTTGCATGCAACATCATCATATGAGTACCCTTGCAATTATTTAGTCCCCCACACATACTTCTAATTAACCAAAGAAAATCAAAAGTGATACCACATTTCCCGAATCCAAGAGACACACCCTTATTTTTCTTTTCTTTTTTAATCTTTGCCGTTGACTGAGCACTGCTGCTTCTGAAATCATATAATCTCTTTTAACTTTTTCCACTCTCTCTATATGTCATGACTTTGCGCATATATAGGAATGTATGGCCCTGAGTGAGTGAGTCATTAAACATTAAGACTTCACACAGAGAGGTGGATGAGCTTCATCACTCCATGTCCATGGCTTACACGAACAGTAGCCTCCACAACTCTTCCCAAGGTTGGGATTGTCACGGCCACCTTGGAGTTCTCAACACAGACAGAATGTCTTTAGGTCTCTCCACTTTTTCTTCCTTTCTCTCTCTTTGCTTTCACTGTTTTTGTCTACATTTGTATTTAACTGTGGTTGAATATAAGACAATGATATATTTCTAGCTTGCTAGGGTTCATTTATTAGTTTTGAATAATATGTGCAGCTATGGATGAGTACATGATGATGAACGCAGCATTTTGCTCATCACCTCATGTAGATCAGTCAGATTTCTCGACGGGGTACTTAGAAGACGCTTTGGTTGAATTTGGTGAGCGATCCAAAAGGAGACGCTTGCTCGTGTATACCAATGATGATAACGAGCTCAAAGACTCCACTACTATTCTTGCGAAGGTATTGAATAGGCTTATTTGATGGATCTCTCGATTTGCATGTCTTATCTTTTATAATTATATGAGTTTTTTCCATCGATCTTGCGCCAATTTCTCACTTAAATACTTTGTAAATAGAGAAACTGGAATTCAAACTGGGAATTAGCTGAGAATTTTGATTGCATGAGCCAGCTAACTACTTCCAGTACTGGGCTATCAGGTAATTAATTAATTAATTACTTTTAGTTCTTTCTTAATTATGATTTCCAAAGTTAATTTCATCTTTCTAAAGTTGATTTCATCTTTCAGTTCTACTTGGTGATCCTTTATGTATAACCAGACCAATGAACAGACTCGTTTCCGAGGAGATCACAAATGACATCGTCAACGCAAAGATAAACACACCAGAAGAGCCAACAATGTCAGCTCCTGAAGCTTTTGATTCCTCCTCTTCTTCTTGCAAAGACTCGGCCAACACCAACTCTGATTATTTACCTACTCCCAAAGATACCCTTTTTTCCAATATTGCTGCTCCAGCTGCCGGTGCGTACACATATCAATCTAGTAACCTATTCTAAAGCAACTCTAAATTCAATAATGTTAATTTAACACATAAAACTGACTACATTGCGCACATATGCATGTACTCTTTAATTGAAGTGGATCCTGCCATTGCATACGAGATTGATCACCTATATCAGAGAGTGTGACTCTGTATAACTAAATAGCATGACTCAAACAAAACTAACGATATCATTGGCATGTTCTCTAATACAGGTGGTGGTGGTGATGAAAAGAGAAAAAAGAAGAAGAGGGTGATAACAAGGGTAGTTTATCCATTTGCGTTGGTGAAGCCGGGCGGAGTAGATGGCGACGTCACCTTAAGCGACATCAACGAGAGGATCCTGATGCCACCAACACGGCCAGTACGACACCCAGTTGGGGACTTTGCATGTCGGCCATGCGTGTCTGCGGATGGCCCTGGCCTTTCTGGTAAAGCTGTGGTGGCCCTTACCAGAATTCAAACCCAGGGCAGAGGCACAATCACTATTATCAGAACCAAAGGTTGAAATAATCATCGTCATTTAATTAGTTAATGCCCTCGGTGCTAGCTAGTTACCATGCATGAGTTCGATCCATCTTTGATTAATTAGCTAATTAATTAGTTTAAATTAATATGTCCGATCTGTCTGAATTGTATAGAAAACCCTATATATGTTTTCACAGTCCATGTGTTATGGTTTTACTTTTACGAACACAAGTAAGAGTTGTTATTTATTTATTTTTTTATTTTTTTTAACAAACAATATTATCTACACTAACTGAGTGGAGGAATGTGCTACGTCTCTATTAATACTCAAGTTTTTTATGTAGATTACTGAGTAACTGAGGTATTTAATGTGCAACAAGAGACATCATTTCAGAGGTCATAATAATAAAGACGGTGGAATTAATGGAAAAGAAGAAAGTAGTAAAAGAAAAAGGCCGAAAAGAAAGAAAGCAAAAGAAGATAAGAGAATAGAAACGAAAATGCCTCTTCAAAGATTAAAGCTTCCAATATATTGTCTGGTACGGAGACCTGCCTAGACAATATATGTTATCTGCTATGCCCCAGTTTTCGCAAGGTGTAAAGAGACTAAAGTGAAAGTAGATGAGTTTGGTCATTTGATTTGTTGAAGTGGGGACAATTGGAGGGGGTACACAATATATTAGATCTCATTAATTACTTATGACTATCCAACAATATGAATACTATACAAATTTGAAAATTAGAGAGTAACGACTGACATAAATTGCACAAAATAAAACATGTAAGGTGTACCAATAACCCTATTAGCCAATGATATGCTTTTTCTCAACTCATTAGACATTTGTTCACTCCATTATGTATAAATGACATCAATTTTTCTTGTAGTGACGATCACAAATATAGTATAACCCAACCCATTAATATTTTTTGAACATGAGATGGATGGATTCATCATCTTCCATTTCCCATCCTTTTACCTTTTTCATAGCTACCCTGCTGCAGACTCCAACTACTACCACCATAGTAAACATCAAATCATTTTCCATTATATATACATATCTGACCAACCAAGACTTTTAAGGCATGGGGATCGTGAGGCACGCATTATATATGTTAATTATGTAATTGTTAGCAGTGCGCCAATCATTTCTGATCGTTGACTAAAAATGCATACATTGTTCATGTTCTGTGGTGCATGTCTTCTTCAATACATATATAGGTCAGTAATTAGGTCAACTACGCAAAATTCAAAAACATCTCAGGGATTATTCAAGACAATATCTAACATGTGGGACCGTATATACGAAAACATGCACCAAATATTGATATATATATATTCTGTTCTAATTAATTGCTGTTTGTATGCGCTGCACTGATCATCGATCACTACCCTCGATGAGCCTTTTGACTTTTCGTGATACAAATTATAATATATACGATTTGAGATAACATTCATGCAGTTTGATAGAACGAAAATACTAGGATTGTCGAAGTCCAAGAAGGCTCACGTACACTATAAATAACATTGTCGGACACTCTTTAATCGTTAACCTAGTTTTTCTCGGTAGAGCACATCGCAATGCTCGGAGACTCACGGTAATCACGTTTGCCCACAGATGTTGCAGAAGTCCAAAGCGGCATCTGTATTGTGTAGAATCTACATACGGCGTCGTTGACAAATTACTTTGTGCGAGAGTGACAAAGGGGTGACGAGAATTGGTGTTTGGTCTCATTACAACAACCATATTGTTGTTGTTTTTGGTGAAGATAACTTTCACCTTTTTTATACCCAATTTCTTTGGATTTGCAGAATCTAGGTCAGTTATATATAGAAAATAAAAGGGAACCATTCTCAAAATCAAATATATACATTCCAAAAAAAAAAAAAACAGAGGATATATATTCCAAAAAGAAAAGTAATAAATATAGAAAAAAGAGAAAAATCAAGGACCACATTAAAGAAGAGAGGGACCTAAAAGGATGAGTAGGGTGGCTCAAGTAGTGAATGTAAAAATAATGTAATGCTTATGTCCCCATCAAGGGACTTATTTATCCTTCCACTTACGATTAACGAATCTTTATTGTTCAAACATCATGATCGAAATCGTTCATTCTCTTTATTATCATTTGAAGACCATATATGCAAAAGATTATTCAACTTGGCAATTCTTTAACCACTCATATGCATAAAAAAATGAACGATTCATCATAAATATGCTACTTGTTACCAAAATCGTTGATTGATTTAACACGTATGAATAACTAAAAAATCTTGAATTGAATATTTTTTGCAGATATGATTATTGGATTATGATATAGAAGATTAACAGTTAATATTATAATGCTCGGACGGTAAATGTTCATTAATCATAATTGAAGGGATAAGTACGTCACCCCAAGGAGCGACACAAGCATTATCATTCAATTTAGTGTAAACACAAACACAAGCTTTCTCAACAGAAGTTTAAGAAGGAGACTCTCAAAGTGAGATTTTTCATGGATCTTTGTCACTTCATATTTCAACAGTAATTTTCGTGCTAAACACTATAAAATATTCCGTAAAAAATATGAGGTGGCATAGAGGTATCTCACTTTTGAGACTCTCTCTTTAACATTTCTCCTTTCAATATTCTCCTTCTTTCTTGTATATCTTATTTAAAATTAGAAAAAGAAAATTCCCTTGGTATATGTGAGAATATCATCTACTTTTCTTTTTCCAAATCCCCGGATTCTCTTTCTGATTTAAAACGCATATATTATATTGATTGGGGATTTTCAGTCCGTAAATTCTTTTAAAAGCCGGAACGGCGGTTTTTATTTTTGTTTGGTGAGCAGCTGGGCCTAATATATGATAGCTCACCAAGCCCACATAGGCCCATTATTAAATGATTGCTTCAGAATCGATACTGACCCAATAATTAGCAGCGACGCAATAATTTTTGCATCACCATTCTTAACTCATGCAGCCGTCGTGTACGTCATTGGTCAAGGTAAAAGTCAAGAGGCCAAGGTTTAGAGAAATTTTTAATTGTAACCGGAATACAAGTGATACATCAAGTGTTTTAATATAAGTGGTGAAATTTTTATTTTTTAAGTTATTAACTTTTTAACACACATATTCCACAATTTGTATAATGACACGTGATGTCCATGTACCGATCACATTGAAAAATCTCTCCAAAGTTTGAACTCAGTCCTAGTTCGTGAAATTGATAATAGTGTTTAAATATGTAGCCGAGATAAAATTTCTTATTTTTATGTATATATGTAGGTTTCGTTATCAATTTCTCGAACTAGGAGAATTTATTCATGACTTAAATTGACCCGAAGAAGGCCAAGGCAGAAAAGAACTAAGTACAAAGGTATTCATAAGCATCACAATCATATTTAATGGTAGTACAGAATCTCCGTGTTGACTTTTTACCAACTTGCTGAGCAATTAATAAAACATAGGAACAAAAAGATAGGAGACGTACGTGTTCTTGCTATCTTGAATCGAAGAGAGAAAAAAATAAAAACAGATACCCAAATCTCAATATGCTTACTGATCAAGCAACTCAATGAACACACAATATTGCATTGCAACTGAGGACATTACAGACATGATCATCGAGAGAGATCACTGACGAAGGCGATCGATCAGTTACTTGACCAAGAAAAGTTACTTATATCGAATCAAAATTTCAATGGAAGGCTTCACATCAACCCACCATGAACAAATAACAATCTAAACGTAAATGAGAACGATTTGCGTACGTGTAAAAGAAACTGTAGTAACATGCATGACAATGGATGACAACATAATGAAGTTAGACCGAGTACGTACGTACTAAAACTCTCATATTAACCGATCAGTAAGGAAAAACCGATGAAGGGTGTTTGTTTGGTGTGGTTGTTGCTGTCTGATCAAAGAACACACAAGCAAAGATAGACTTCAGAATCTTCTTCAGAACTTGGCCGCGTTTCGGGATCCAGCGACTACTGCGAGGAACCGCCACTCCCCTTACTGCAGAAGCAGCCATATTCATATACTGAGTGCTTCTACCTGTAGCTAGCTAGCAATGAATTTGGTAACAGTCGGAAGCAAGAGGCAGTAGTGAAGTACAGGTGATTTTTGCATGATGAGCTGCCGACAGCGAGATGCAGAGGTTATATATAGTGGGGTGTGTTGAAGCCGCGTAGGAGTTTTAACCGAGTGAGCAACGTGTGTGGTAGGCGTAGGTGGTGCTGCTGCTGCTCTTTCTCTCTCTCTTTTGTACAGTTGTATGACTCGTTCTTTCTATAAAAAACCCTATTACCCAACAACCCGCACCACCCTTACTCTATTCAGCCCCCAATTCTCCCACACGCCTATGTCTCAATTATTCTCCTTTTTTCCTCGGCTTTGAAAAGGTCAGTATTTTCTTTCTAATTCTAGTTAAACACAAGTTCTGTACGGTCGCTTGATTCATAATATATGCATTCTTCATGATTAACATTTGCCACACAGATGAGGTTTAATTTGGTTTAGTAAGAAAACAAAAATCTCTACTTCTGTTGGAGATGCGAGTCAATAATATATCAATAAACTTGAATGTGTTACTGATAATTTTGTTGTTGTAATCTTTTTGACTATGAGGTATACATATGTGGAGGCGGATTCGTGGCGCCATTTTTTTTTAATAGAATTTTTAATTTTTTAGATAAGTTTTATAGGGTTCACTCCGTAACGTATTTTAACGATCCGAACAATCTATATTTAGGCACATATTTTTATGTGGCCCACTCTGTAATATATATTCTAATGATAGAACTGGTGCAGACCATTACTTATTGGCTCACTTATTTACAACAAAGGGAGGCTGATCCAAATGCCTTATGATGTTGGGAACTGGCTTATATTTTAAGAAAATCGTACAAATTCTCTTCCAATATTATTTTGTTGTTGTAGATTTCATAATCATGTTGTATAAGAAATTTAAACTTTCTATTTTTTATAAAGCATATATATGAACATGAAGAGGAGGATGAAAGATGATAAAGTTACACGTGACATTTGATTTTGAGGTAAGTTTTTAATAATCCGAATTACTGAACAATTTGATTTTATATTAATTACATTATCAATAAACAAAAATATAACAATTCTTCATTTTGATTTTGATCGTTATTTACTACTGAGTAACCCGAACTATTAAAAACTCTTTGCAATTGACTGATGCAGACAGATGGCGACTTACAAAAGACAAAAAAGAAAAGGAGACGGGCAACAG